AGTCAGGGATAGAACCCAGGCATCCTGGCCCCTCTCTTCTACCTCACGGCCTGCCCATGCAGTCAGGTGCCGTATCCCAGGGCAGGGGGCACATGGAGCCCACTTCCCGTCCCAGGGCTGAGGACAGAGCCCAGGTGACCTGCTTCCCAGCTCCCACCCCCCACTCCCCAGCTCTAACCACTGGGCCTCACTCCTCTTCTAGTCAGGGATAGAACCCAGGCATCCTGGCCCCTCTCTTCTACCTCGGACTGTCCTGGGCGGGGCCTCCTGCATGTCCCCAGGACCCCAAGAGAACTCAGCCCTAGAGGAGACAGGCCGGGGACCTATTCCCTGCCCCCCATGCCAGCCAGTCCCTGGGGCCGGATGCAGACTGGTGCCCCCTAGAGGGGAGAGACCCTGGCCTCTGTCCTCCGCCCCCTCCAACCAATCCCTCTTCAATAGCATCTTCCCCATGGCCCCTTCTCCACCCGTTTCCCGACAAAGGGATCACGGTCACCCTCCCTCCTCTGCCCTTTTCTCCCGCTGCCTGGGAGCGGCAGGTCTGGTCACCCTGGTCCTCTCCCCTCTGCCCTGCATGCGATCGCTGGCCTGCACCAGCAGGTTGCCCAGCTGTGGTATGTCTCCTGATTGTCAGTCGCTGGGCCCCCAGTCTCCAGGCCATTGTCCACTAGGGGAAGGCACTCCTGGCCCCGAGCCCCAACACACTCCCCGCCCTCCGCCATCACCTTGCTACACACACAGCACACAGGGAAACTGAAGGACACGCTGCGCTTCTGCAAACCATTAATAAAATCCCCACTATTGTCACTTTGTCACAGGGGGAGACAGGGTGGGGAACCCCCAAAGGAGTGTGTGATGGGCAGGGGCAGGCTGAGTCCCTGTAACAAAGTGGGGATTTTATTTTCCTTGGGATGTTGCATGTGCTCTCTACTGTCCTACAGGCTGCACCATTGACCTGTGGAACTCCTTGCCAAAGGATGTTATAAAGACGAGTGTTCAAAAAAGAACTAGATAGATTCATGGAGGTAGGTCCATTGATGGTTCCTAGCCAGGATGGGCAGGGATGGTGTCTCCAGCTCCGTTTCTCTGGAGATGGATAACAGGAGAGGGATCAGGTGAGGATTCCCTGCTCTGTTCACTCCCTCTG